AAGATGGGCTCAATCGAACCATGGGAAGGTCTCCATCAAATCTAAACATCTGACGCGTCTGCGCAGTTCTGCATTTAAGGCTCCAAAATCACCACTTTACTCCATATCGTACCTGAACCTGTAAATACTCTAAGTAAACTCTATATTGTAGTAAATATATATGAAAAAACTTATAAACCATGGCTAAAAATTGGTAAAATCCATGGTCGATCAAGGCCACTCAGCAACAGCTTTGATCTTGTTAGCGTACAAGCTATTAGCTCTCATCAACTCAAATACTTTCCTGAGATGCTCGACATTTGATTCTAGGGAACTACTGTCGATCAATATATCATCAAAAAATATCAGCACAAACTTCCTCAAAAACTCCCTGAAAACTGCATTCATCAACCCATGGAATGTAGCAGGAGCATTTGTAAGACCAAATGGCATTACCAAATACTCATAGTGACCACTATGAGTCATAAATGCTGTCTTATGAATATCCTCGACATCCATACGCACCTGATGATATCCAGCACGTAGATCTATTTTAGAATAGACTACCGATCCTCCCAATTCATCCATTAAATCCTCAATGAGTGGTATAGGAAATCTATCCTTAATAGTCAACTCATTTAACCCTCTGTAATCAACACATAACCTCCATGTACCATCTTTCTTCTTGACCAAAACAACCGGGGAAGCAAAAGGGCTGCAACTAGGTTGGATGGTACCACTTTTCAACATGTCTTGGACCATCTTATCGATCTCATTTTTTTGATACAGAGCATACCTATAAGGTCGTTGATTCACTGGGTTAGCGCCTTCTCTTAGAGGTATTATGTGATTATGGTTCTCTCAGAATGGAGGTAACTTCTTTGGTTCCAAGAAAATGTCTGCAAACTTCTTTGGTTCTCTTGAAACTGGATCATAGATCATAGAAATTTGAGGATCATAAGCCTTAATTTTACTGATCTTCACTGCTTTAGACTCTCTTACCGAACCCGGGTGTATGCCATTCAAAGTTACTCTCTTAGCTTCGAACTTGAATTGCATATACAACTTGTCAAAATCCCAAGTTATAGGTCCCAGTGTCCTTAACCATTGCACTCCCAAAACCATATCACAATTACCCAAAGCAATCACCATAAAGTCAGCCTGAAACCTATGATGTTGAAAGTTCCATCTCAATTTTTCAATTCTTCCTGCCACCTTCAACTGACCACCTTCAGCTACTGTCACTTTTTCCAAACCAGAAGGTTTAACAACGCATCCCAGCCTCTCTGACATCCATAAAGTTGTGTGTTGACCCGGGATCAATCAACACAAATACCGGTCTCTTCCCATAACGACCTTTAACTTTCATTGTTGTGTATCTGAAGTTCCTGCCACTGCATTCACTGATATATGAGCAATGTCACAATTCTCCTGTTGCTCAATTATAACTCTCACTTCCTCATCAACTACTTCTTCTTCACTACCTTCCATCAAATACATTTGAGCATTCTTGTGAGTCAAGGCATGAATGGGAGAGAATTTCTCATCACAAAACTAACAAAGGCCTTTAGCTCTCCTATCACTCATCTCTCCACGTGTTAAGAACTTCCTCAACTGAAAGTTAGAGCTTTTAGTATTGTCTGCTGGACTAGGTAGTATAGCCTTCACTTCGTTCTCCTTCTTGTAATTCACTCCACCTTTACCGAAGTTACTTTTAGTACTACTCCAAGACTGTTGCTTTTTGGGATGTGCCATTTCATATAATCTTCCTAGCACAAAGCACTGTCTTACTGACTGAGGTTGGAACATGCGGATATGCATCAGAGTATCCGTTCTCAAACCAGCCAAATAAGCATTGATTAAGTATTGCTCAGATAACTTCACCTTCGCTCTGATGATTTCAAACTTCTCATTGTATTCTGCAATACCATCAGTTTCTTGTAAGTTCTTCAAGTCAGCTATCGGATCATCCAACACCTCCTCAAACCTCTTGATCAATAAGGTTTTATACAATTTCCAATCACTCAACAAATCATGTCCCAACTCTGATTGGACAATTGCTTGGTGCCAATTAGACGCATGTCCTTCAAAATGAATCGAAGAAAGTCTAACTCGCAACTCTTCAGGAGTATTATCAATCAAGAAAAACTCTTCCACCTTAAACAGCCAATCACGAACCTTATCCCTCTTGAATCGTGGAAAATCCAAACGACCTAATCTTGTTAATCCAGTGTATGTAGAATGCATACCAGATCTGGATGAACGATGATCTTTGTTCGTATGATGAACCTCTTGCGAAGTTGACAGATCTGGAGTCGTATCTCTTCTACCACGTTCCAAACTGTTGATCGCTTTCTCCGTTTTCTCAGAGATGATACGAATCGCCTCGAACACATCAGATACAGTTTTCTCGAGTTTGTTATTATGTTCAGTGATCGTCTGCTCCAACTTCTCGATCTAAGATCCGATCACTTCCGAAGTTTCACGCACCACCGTTTCCTTCAATAACTGCTGAGCTCCAGTTTCCGCCATAGTTTCTGAGGATGACGAAGCTCTGATACCTTTGATAGAGTTAAACCGTACAAATCAGTAACAAGGAATTGATGTTCATAAAAAAACTATTCCCACTCACAAATCGAAGATATCGCCGTATAATCAATCTTCTAATTCAATGAGAAACGAACCAATACAGTATTTGAGAGAGAAGACCTTTACAACAAATTTCTGGATGAAAAAAATGTAAAAGATCAAAAAACGAAGTTATAAAAGTTTGTTTCTCCGCGTAACAATCTTTCTCATTCTCCACCGTCCACGTGTCCTCATCTCAACTCTCTTCATTTATTCGAAATATTGAATCTCCCTCCAATTTATTCTTCACTTCCCTCTTCTTTTTATCTCACAAGTCATTATCACTCTTCCTATATCAGGTGTCTTCTCACAATTAACTAGAAGCTCATTGTTAGATGGATTACATTGTTCGAACAAAACCCATTAAGTAAACTGAATCCAGTTCAGTTGATTAAATGGCAATCAACGAAAAAGAGAGGAACGAGAATAAATAGATAACAATTACAAACACACGTAAAGCGATACAAGATTAGGATTTACATAGTTCATTTCATCTTCTAGTTGATCATCATCTGTTACAATATATGAACTTTTCCTTATAATCGATTTTATCCTTCAATAAACATATTTTAAATAATGTATTATCGAATTTAGACTTTGAAAAGAAAGCTATTTGGATAAAGTATATTTGAATAAAGTCTTAAGTCAAAAATTTATTAAAAAAAAAGAGAGAGATAGATGTAATGCTCAAATTCGAAAACTCAAAACAAATAAGAATATGAGAAGAGGGGAAGACGTCTAGAGAGAAAAAGAGAGAAACCCTAATCCAGAAAGTTTTGCTCCGGCCGCCGCACTATCGATGTGCCGGAGGCGCCCTCCATCTTCCTTTCCTTTTTTCTTCTTTTTTCTTTGCTTCCTTTCTTCCTGCTTTCCCTTAGTTGATATGCAATCTCCTCTGTAAAGGCTGAGAAACTCTGGAGTTGCTGTGTGCTTGACGGAGGCAGTTCCCAAGTCCTTGTGGAGAGACGGCGAAACCCAAGGGGAAGCGGTGAAAAAGGGAGTCGGCGTTTTAGGACTGAAGATTCACCCGGATCTGGTTTTCTCTTCTTCAGCTCTCTGGTGAATCTCCACGGCAACAGCGCGTGGCTCCGGTGAGTCGCCTTCTACACCTCAGATCTGCTTCTTTATGTGGTGATGTGGTGGTTGGAGGAGAGGTACGAGAGATGGTGAATAGGAATTTGAACCCTGGTTCTCGGGGTCTTCACGCGCCAAGCTTCACGATGGCGGAGCTGTTACCCGGAGTAGTGGGGTTGGTTGGAAACGCGTGGTGAAGATCGGCTTCCCAGCACCGGCGTATGGGTCGCAAATCGCTCCGGTGGTCGAGCTCCGCATTTCTGCAAGCCGCGATTTGGTATACTGGACACGTAAGCTGCTGCCAAGGTCCGCCTTTCAGTCCGGTTCTTATGACCGGTTTTGTGGCCATGAACCGTGGCAACAACTGCCGGTGGTCTTAAGCTGAGTTTGATATGCGCCTTTGTGCGGGTACTGTTGGTTCATGAGCTCAACTCCTATCACTTGGGAACAACATTTTGTGCTTGAATTGATACCCAGACTAAGTTTCTTAGCTCCACTTGGTATTGGCTGCGGGTTTTGTGGTCATTTTTAGGGAGAAACTTGTCTGAAACACTCAGATATACGGAGAGGAGTATGCGTCAGTTTGGCGATGACGTGACTGGTCGGTCTAATTCTTCCTATGTCTAATCCAGTTGCAAAATTCTCAAATAGAAGTTCTCTCTCAATAACGAGAAGAAGCTCCATTCCGGTGAAGATGCAATGGTCGAGTTTCATAATCAAATTAACAAATCCATTCGCTATGCTCTTTCTTAGAATTCTCATTATTGGTGTTTGTTTGCAAGGATATTTTTTTGTAATTAGTGGTAGAATTTAGTGGTGTAAGAGATGGTTCATTCCGGGTAGTGGGATGTTCTTGTTCTCGTAGTGGTGAAAAATGCAACATCGGATTGATTCGGGTAGCATAGGATCCTTTTAAGTGTTCCTAGGTGATACTAGATCCCGGTGTTTTATGTGGGGTAAAAATCTTGTGAGGTTGTAATCCCGTTACCATGATTTGGATAATGAAAAGTTGAAGTTGAGCCCAAAAAAAAAAAAAAAAAAAACAAATAAGAATATGAAAATTGTTGTTATTAAATCTCCTGAAGAAAACAAAGTCAACATATGAATGAACTTTAACAATATAGTCAGAAAATATAAACTGTCAATTTTCTATAAAACGTTATGACCACTGACTGTCTCCCTGTCATGATACTCACGAATCTAACAACTATCGATCTGTTCTGTTTTGGGTGGTTTTACATTAATAAGTAAGACAAGAAAACAAATAATAATAATTATTAATAAGACCCAAAGATCATATATCATGTGAAGCTAAAAGCCTAAAAGCCACCTCGAAACAAAGAAAACGGATAAGACGGTGTTTGTGGATTTGACTCTACTACTCCTCCAAACGTCGCCGTTTCTTTGTATCTTGTCTCTCCCTGAATAGTCCCACATCCTCCACTTATGCTATCCGGCAAAGACAACGTCGACGTTAACGATGATGACGTGGAAGAAGTGGAAATCAGACCAGCCTCGTTGTAACTACCAAACTGCTCCGGCTTTGGCACCGGAACAACCCATCCCAAAGAATTCTCCGGCGATTGAGTCCGGTAAAAATTCTCCGGCGGAGAAGGTGAGGGTGAAATGACTCCGAAAACCCTTCCGTTTTCTTCCTCGTCCTCTGACTTCACCGTGACACGACGCTTCTTCTTGTTGGAGACTAGCTTTGTCCGCTCTTTCTCGAGCATCATCCTCGGGAGGAGGTCGGGATCCTCAACGACCTTGTATAGAAACGCCATCATCTGTTCCGGCCTCTTCTCCGTCGCCTCGATCCTTTGGTTCATCCTCTGAATCACCAACTCAAGCTCTCTCTGCTCATCTTTCAACCGTTCGATCTCCCTCACGATCTCACCGTCATCCATCTCTTGGCCGTACATCATTCCACGCGCGTGTTTCCTACGCGCTATGTTCTTGAGCAGGTGGTTCTGTCCTCTGAGAAAATGCTCGTTCGCAAACTCCCACCGGTCTGGATCCACTTTCCTAAACCCCTGAAAATGAAAAAACATAGTAAAATCAATAATAGCTCCCAGCATAGTTGGTATGGAATCAATTAGAGAGGGAGAGTATTGTAATTACATAGGTGTTGAGTTGGCGAACAAAGCTGCTGAAATTGTTGTGTTTGAAATAAGCAGGCAAGATTCGCTGAGAGAAGTCGAGAGGATCAACGACGATGAAGCTGTTGTGTGCAGGTCCCCAAGTGATGAGCCAATCGGTCGAAGGGTCGTTAACCATCTGATATGTCTTCACTACGAAAGGTGCGATCACGTTTGTGTTGGTGTTATTGTCGTCCTCCATTTTTTTTTCTCTCCTCTCTTTTTTTCTTTTTATTTCGCTTTATATGTTTGCTGGTGGTAAAGAAATTAAAGGGTAAGCTTGTGGGTTTATATAAACACGAAAATATAGGTCAAGTGAAAAGGGAAATAGTATAGTAGTAAGTGTTTGACAGTGAGACATGTGTGATGTGGCTTACTTTTGTGATAACGTGGCAAGGTCGTGTTTGTAAGCGCAAGAATTTGGAGTCTATGAGTCTTGGTTCGCGTACTTGTGTAACACACAGATAATGGTGTGTGACACACACCATTGTGTAACACACAGATAATGGTGTGTGACACACGCTTCGGAGAATAAAAAGGGAAACATCAAGATACGATAAAGTAGAATATTCTCATATATTTGGCTGACGAAATATGTGTTAAANGAGCTAGGGTTTTGCTTATTGGAGTATAAAGAGACAAGATGGTGAGATGAAGCCGTCACGCGTTTAGAGTTTATTGAAGATGCACATGGATGTGTGTGACGTCGTCCTACCAGACAGATGGACAGATCTGTTGGTAGTTTATTTTCATTGTAATTCTAGATTAGAGTGGTAGGCACGGGTGTGTGCTGGATACCATATATCAGTGGTTTGCTGCGGCCTTTTCTAGTGAATGAGTTCTGGACGTGGTCCCGGGGATGTAGGAAACGAACCTCGTTAACAAATCTCTGTGTCTTTTTTCTTTATGCTCTTACATACTTGCATGCAAACACATCACACTCGAAGATATAGATTTAGCCACATGCCATGCTTTTACAATTGGTATCAGAGCGGGTGCTCGTAGAGATTCATCTTATTTCGGGTAGATCCTGGATATGGTATGTGTGGCTAGCTGAAAAGTTGAAGAGGATGAGAATAGTCATGTACGTGAGTGTTTTGAGATAACCAACATGAAGATATGAGAGGAGCGTTGGATTTTCTGGTTTTCAAGATGGACGGCAAATCGTGTGAAAGGAATGATGCACTCTGGTGTGTGTAACTTATGCTTAAAACGCCAAGATCTGGTGAATTTTGATTCTGAGCCAACAAGTATCATGAAGGTTTTTCACAGAGTTTTCCATTCAAGCAAGGAAAGATGGTACTGGATTCAGGGGGAGTTCAAGATGAAGATTAGTGAGCTTGAGTTGTAAAATTCAGTGAAAAAGGGGGAGAATGTAAGCTCAAGAATTTGGAGTCTGTGAGTCTTGGTTCGCGTACTTGTGTAACACACAGATAATGGTGTGTGACACACACCATTGTGTAACACACAAATAATGGTGTGTGACACTCGCTTCGGAGAATAAAAAGGAAAACAACAAGATGCGATAAAGTAGAATATTCTCATATATTTGGCTGACGAAATATGTGTTAAAAAAGGATTAATGGGCTTAATGAGCTAGGGTTTTGCTTATTGGAGTATAAAGAGACAAGATGATGAGATGAAGCCGTCACGCGTCTAGGGCTTATTGAAGATGCACATGGATGTGTGTGACGTCGTCCTACCAGACAGATGGAGAGATTTGTTGGTAGTTTTGTTATGGAGAACTATACTTGTCAGAGTAATAGTTGCTCTTATCATTGTAATTCTAGATTAGAGTGGTAGGCACGGGTGTGTGCTGGATACCATATAGCAATGGTTTGTTGCAGCCTTTTCTAGTGAATGAGTTCTGGACGTGGTCCCGGGGATGTAGGAAACGAACCTCGTTAACAAATCTCTGTGTCTCTTTACTTTATGCTCTTACATACTAGCACACGGATACATCACACACTATCATATAGGTTTAGCCACATACCATGTTTTTCAATTGATATTGTAAAAGCATGGCATGTGGCTAAATCTATATCTTCGAGTGTGATGTGTTTGCATGCAAGTATGTAAGAGCATAAAGAAAAAAGACACAGAGATTTGTTAACGAGGTTCGTTTCCTACATCCCCGGGACCACGTCCAGAACTCATTCACTAGAAAAGGCCGCAGCAAACCACTGATATATGGTATCCAGCACACACCCGTGCCTACCACTCTAATCTAGAATTACAATGAAAATAAACTACCAACAGATCTGTCCATCTGTCTGGTAGGACGACGTCACACACATCCATGTGCATCTTCAATAAACTCTAAACGCGTGACGGCTTCATCTCACCATCTTGTCTCTTTATACTCCAATAAGCAAAACCCTAGCTCNTTTAACACATATTTCGTCAGCCAAATATATGAGAATATTCTACTTTATCGTATCTTGATGTTTCCCTTTTTATTCTCCGAAGCGTGTGTCACACACCATTATCTGTGTGTTACACAATGGTGTGTGTCACACACCATTATCTGTGTGTTACACAAGTACGCGAACCAAGACTCATAGACTCCAAATTCTTGCGCTTACATTCTCCCCCCTTTTCACTGAATTTTACAACTCAAGCTCACTAATCTTCATCTTGAACTCCCCCTGAATCCAGTACCATCTCCCCTTGCTTGAATGGAAAACTCTGTGAAAAACTTCATGATACTTGTTGGCTCAGAATCAAAATTCACCAGATCTTGGCGTTTTAAGCATAAGTTACACACACCAGAGTGCATCATTCCTTTCACACGATTTGCAGTCCATCTTGAAAACTAGAAAATCCAACGCTCCTCTCATATCTTCATGTTGGTTATCTCAAAACACTCACGTACATGACTATTCTCATCCTCTTCAACTTTTCAGCTAGCCACACATACCATATCCAGGATCTACCCGAAATAAGATGAATCTCTACGAGCACCCGCTCTGATACCAATTGTAAAAGCATGGTATGTGGCTAAACCTATATGATAGTGTGTGATGTATCCGTGTGCTAGTATGTAAGAGCATAAAGTAAAGAGACACAGAGATTTGTTAACGAGGTTCGTTTCCTACATCCCCAGGACCACGTCCAGAACTCATTCACTAGAAAAGGCTGCAACAAACCATTGCTATATGGTATCCAGCACACACCCGTGCCTACCACTCTAATCTAGAATTACAATGATAAGAGCAACTATTACTCTGACAAGTATAGTTCTCCATAACAAAACTACCAACAAATCTCTCCATCTGTCTGGTAGGACGACGTCACACACATCCATGTGCATCTTCAATAAGCCCTAGACGCGTGACGGCTTCATCTCATCATCTTGTCTCTTTATACTCCAATAAGCAAAACCCTAGCTCATTAAGCCCATTAATCCTTTTTTAACACATATTTCGTCAGCCAAATATATGAGAATATTCTACTTTATCGCATCTTGTTGTTTCCCTTTTTATTCTCCGAAGCGAGTGTCACACACCATTATTTGTGTGTTACACAATGGTGTGTGGTGTGTGTCACACACCATTATCTGTGTGTTACACAAGTACGCGAACCAAGACTCACAGACTCCAAATTCTTGAGCTTACAGTGTTTTGCTTTTACGGTGTCACGGACAAGTGTGGGACCCATGCAGGTGTTTCCTCAAAGCCTCAGGTCTTTTCCCCACTTTTTATATAAATGTTCTCTTAGGCGACAAGTTACTTGACCCAGCCATGTGTGAAATCATTTATGCATGTTACGTTTAGGTATTACTTCTATCGTTTCGTTCTGAAAATTTTCTTAGAAATAACATGATGCTTTTTTTACAAATTTCCGATATGTGTCAAAATGAGAAAAAGGATCAAGAAATCAATTTTTTTCTATTATTCGATGTTCATCGTATCAGCGTAGGTATGTCATTTATTTGACATAATATACACAAACATGAAGATTATGAGAATTTCACAATCTTAACATGAAAATTTCCTTAACTCTCCATTTTGTTCCTTTTCTCTTTTACAAATGTAAATCGAGATTACCATTTCCTATAATTTCATAAACATCAGATGCACACTTGCAATTTCCTGGGATCAAAACTATTTCAATCTAGGTAACCTTTAGCATCATTATCCCTTAATTTTTATTTTTCTTTTGTTTGAAATTTTTTTTTAAAAAGAATCAAGCGCGGACCACACGTGTGAGTAGAACCTACGAACAGTGCAAGTAACACTCCAAATCAGTTGTTTATTTTAGTACATTTGGAGATGGTTGCTTGTATTTTTGATGGAGCCCATACACACAAAAAAATAGCTAAACAATCCATCAAAAACATGAGATAGTGATGCTCTTAAAAACAGTACCTAATTCTTTACTCATTCGCCAGAATAAGCCATATAGCTGGCTTAGATCAGCAATGCATAGACCTTGACTAGACTCAGTTTCATGGATGACACCAAGAATCTGGCAAATGCAAGAGTTAAATAAAGCTTTTCTTTCAAAATTGATGATGGAAAAACAGACTTTATATCTATGGCAGATACAGAATATGCATAGTTGCTTACTACATGTATTACTAGTATATTAGTGTTGTCAACTGGGACATATAATCAAATGTTGCTCAATTAAGAGTAAAGAGGTGAATGTTTTGGAGGATGGCATATTAAGAGTACCATATGCTTCTGTCACTTCCGATTGATAATTCTCAGATCCATGCTCCAATTCCCCACCACAAATGTCATCCACACAGTTGCAATATTAGCCACAGCCCCCAGCTCCAGTTTCCACCACATTATAAGCAAAATAACCAATGGCTAAAGATTACTTGGTCTCAATCAACATTACACGCATCAAAGGGATTACTATTTTATTGTTCAGGCAACCACCACGAAATCTAATTGCGATCTTTGAAAAAATTCGCAGTTCAATATTAGATAAATTAAAATGGCCTTAACTAAGAGGCGTGGGTCAATGTTAACCACACAAACGAATGTTATAATAATATTATGGTTTGAATTGTTTATTGCTTCAACGCATGGTCCATAATTCGGCACAACTGAAGAGACAATGACCTGATCGAATCGGTGAGAGACAGTGCTCCCTTTTTAATTTGTATAATGTTCTCACTTTTCTTTTTCTTAGTATATTTATCATTTTTAATCGAATCAAATTGAACAATGAATAATCACATGATCA